ACAGCGCAGGGTGTGCCAGGCGAAGGCCCCAGTCCCACAGCGCAGGGCTTTCCTAAATAAAGATCCTAGTCCCTCAATACAGAGCCTCCCAGGTGAAGGTCCCAATCCAGGATGTCCTGTACTGTAAGGCACAACCAGGACTGAAAAGAACAAGACACAGAAGACAAAATAACTTTGAAATTTCAGTAACTAAATCATGTCATGCTTGTGTTTCAAAAGTCTTCAGTTCACTTAAGACTGAAAAGAATGAGGGAGATAAAAAATGTGATAGCTTTTAGGCTTGGGAGGGATGATTTAGGATACAGGATTGTAATAATTTGATGTGTGCATGTATACGCACATGTGGGGGGGTGGTGAAGTGTATGTGTGCGCATGCAGCATGGACATTGGATCTTAGGAGGCAGAAAATAAAATGTTGACGAGCAATAACCTAATGGTCTTTGGTAAAAGAACAAAGGAATAAAAGTAAACAAAGAGAAAAAGAAAATAGTTTTCTGAAGATTCCACTAGCCCGGATATTTACTTAGGACATTGAATAGTGATGTTATTTAATGAGTAGGGGCTGTGTACAAGAAGTTTTACTCTTTGGTTGGCCTCAACTGTTCTTTGCCCTGCAGTACAAGATGATGCTAAGATTTATCTATTTCAAATCCTTGTAAAATTCAACATACCTTAGCAACCTCGTGCTCAGGAATGCCACGTAGCCGTGAGTAGAATTCTACATGTTCCCGACCCGTCAACAGTTTGTTCACAGCATCAAACTGAGGGCAGTATCCCATGTTCTGATGCACATCCTGGATGTTAGATAGAATGCTAGGGGAGGTAAGATACTTAGTTGTTAAAATAAATCATTTAAAAATTGTACCTCAAGTCCTAATTTTAGGCACTTGCATTGTCTTTCCATCCCATCACCTTAAGGCAAGTGAATGCAGGGACTCCGGAGATGAGAATATTCTGTGTAGCTCTGGCTATTGGATTGTATTACTCCCTTTGTGAGAGGAAAATGATGCTAATTCTTGCTACTGGGAATCTAAATAAGGATTCAAGGCTCAGGAAGTTGGTCTTGCTTCTCTTGTTAAAGAGAGCAGCCTCTAAGGCAATCAAACTAAAATTTACTATGAATGGCAGTCAAGATGGGATGGAATTGCAAAATGAGCAAATAGCTTGAATAAAAGAAGCCAGGAAGAATCTGCTCACCTGAAGTGCAACACATTACTTGGGGGTTGCCACTCAAGCAAAATACTATAAAGGAAGAGAGATAACAAGGTGTAGAGCTGAATGAACACAGCAGA